TACTAGCCATTTGATATAAGTGAATTCTTTAAAACAGGCCTGCTAGGATAATCTTACACAGAGTGTATATAAGAAATATATATTTTTATACACACACACACACACACACACACACAGTGTGTGTACATATACATATATACATGTGTGTGTACAGAAAATATTTTGAAAATGATGGTAACAAATGTACAAATATGCTTGACATGGATTGTGATAAGAACTGTATGAAATTATTTTTTTTTAAGGGCAAATTTTAATCTAAGTGATGTGACATATTATTTAAAAGGTTGACTTGAATGGATACTGTACTGAAATCCCTAGTATTTTACAACAAACCTTTGAGAATGAAAACAGTTCAAGATTTGTAGCTATGCATGAAACTATACCAATGTTTAAAATGAAAGGCGGACTTGCACCCCGTGTGCGGGACAACGAAAGGGTGAGAGGACAGAACAAGGGGACTGAGAAGAGCCTCCATCCTTACACGTTTCAGGGATTTCACGTAAGTGGAATCCACCTCCGAGTTCGGAACATACCTCCAGTCACAGGATTACTGTGAGGACGGAATCAGGTAATGCAGACAAAATGCTTAGCAAGTAATAATAATTAAACACAGACGAGGGCAAGTCAAAACGTTTTCCTATTGGGATGACAGTTCCTACGGGCATGGGTCAATTCCCAACACCCTCTGCTTAGGCACGTCTGCGTCAGTGGTTGGTTGCAGACAGGTTCTCTTGTAACACACTTGTCTAGGGTGCTTTCAAAAAACAAAGTCCAGCCACAGCAACCGCTTCCAAGGGGATCGATCTGTTGGGCCAATGACATTCAGGGCAAAGAAGACAGCTCAAAGAAGTTTACGGTAACTGGTTTCTGGGATTCCCAAGGGGTAGTCTCACTAGATTTTCTTTAAGAACAATGGACGATCATGGGGGCTTATTATAAAGATGTTTTCCCAAAAAAATGAAAGCTACATTCAAGAGGAAAATGCCAACAAAGTTGAGCTGGGTTTTTCCCCATCACAGCAATGCACATGCTCAATCGTCCAGGGTAGCTAGGGCGGTCCCTTGAGAATTTTGCTGGGAAGTCTTTGCCTACAGCCCTGATCGGGCCCCTTCAGACTTCATTGTTGCCAAAACTCAAAGGACATTAGGGGGAAACCATGACACGAGGCCCTCAAGAGCACCCAGTGACATCTGATGTGGTGTGAGCCAAAGAGCGGAGAGCCCTCCGGGATCCAGTTATCGGATGCAAACACACCTTTGAGGTGCACGCACCTGGATGGAGGGCGTGTCAGAGGCACCAGAGCAGCACCCTTGATGTTTTGGTGGAATACGTTTCTGTGATTTTTCAGTCATAGTTTCTCACATATCCCTGACAATATACTTACTGATGTCATTTTTATCACGAGAGAGGCTCTCCAGTATCCAGTAAAGAGAACTGAGGAACATAAGGGACAAACTAAATCCAGAGCTTATCCAAATCGTCTGGGTCTCTCTCTCACAGGTATGAAAAAGTGAGTGGTGATTTCATTTCTCGTTGCCCTTTTATAAAGAATAGAAATGTTCATAACTAAATAGTGAAAGGTCAAAAAAAGGCCCAGGAAAGAAAATATGAGAGCTCCAATAAGTCTACTACAACTTCGTGAACCGAAATGCCTACCTGGAGTCGAGTCAAATGAAAACGAAATGTGTAAAATGCTTCCTTTCTCTTCTTCTTATAAGTATAATTGAAACTTGTTCTGTTCATTTTCGGTTTCGAAGACTGGGAAAACGAGGATATAAAGCACCAACTATTTGAAAGGCAAGACGCCACTATGCAGCAACCCAAGGGTTTTCTTCCCCAGTATAATGAGAGAGAATGTAGCATGAGTAGACCCTGTGTTAAAGGAACCATCGAAGAAAACTTGAAAGGATTAAAAGTATTTTTCCGTGAGTCCAGTTTACTGATAGCATGCTTCAAATCTCTTTAAAGCTTGTAAGAACGCATAAAGTTTGAAATTTGAAAAGGACCATTAATGCAAGCCAAACCCGCTCTACAGTGATGGCGGTGCAGATTCGACTGCGCTCTCAGCGGTTCCTTTCGAAATCCGCGTCTGCAAAGGCACCAGAATGGTCGGTTTCTCACGACAATTCCGGGGCAGGATTAAGAGGTCTGTGTGTCATCTGTCTGACGGCAGGACAACCTGGCTGGCTTTGGGTGCTTTGTAAGGGGACGTAGAAGAAACGCCAAGGCCAACAGGGGGTGCCCTTTGTGTTGGATGCAGACCGCTCATCCGGGACAACGTGGATCTAAGACACAGCAGCTCTGCGGGCTAGTCATATTTCCAAATGAATTTTGGAGAGATGCATGCAGATCACCCAATCGCAATCTTGCCCCAAAGGGATATTACACACACAACTAAGATACGTCATCATTAATTCTATGAAGGAAAGGATTTTTCACTACCCTGAAAAACAGAAGTCATAACTTCAAAATAGGTTTTAATGGAATAAACTTAGCTTTAAGTTAAACTTTCCATAATGTTCTTATTTTTACTATCATGATAAGCCCATAAAGTATTCTTCACAGATAATTCGCCATCACTAATAGGGAATAGAAAATGTGCCATAAACCCTAAAGGGTATCTATAATTAGGTCATGCACTTTGAATGGAAGAGGAAATGGCAATACATGTCTCCTTTACATAAAGTTATCTGTTCCTGGGTTTAGCTTGGAATGTTAACTCAATGTCATGGAGTCAATTTGGACACACAGTGAACTCTACAAGATCTACTAGAACATCTCAGAGCTTCTGAGACTGTGAACCTTTATGGGAGCAGACAGCTTTATGGATGTTGTCTGTTAGTCCAGTATTCTTTACATCCAGTTGAAATACACTAACGGCTGCAATCCTTGATCTTCACGAAGCAAATGCTTCCAGTTCTCCTGGATCTCAGCAATCAAGGCTGTAAAATCTGCATATTTTAGGTGGGTAATAGCCTGCCACCAGTGCATTCTGACGCCGCATCCTTCTTCTTAAGAGTCTAGCTTCTCAGATTCAGATGAAGAGTACGGTGAAAAGACACAAAGAACACCATTCCGGGTTTTAAAATCAGACAGCAACACTTCCTTCTTGGTCTGTGTACATGTTCAGAATACACTGAAGTGTTCTGGAATTACCATTCTTCTCGGCGTTACCCACAGCTTATTATGATCCACAAAGTCAAAAAGACAAATAAACTTCCGGTATTCTCTGCTTTTGGCCAAGAGTCATCCAACATCAGCAATGCGTGTCCTCTTCAGCGCCTCTCGATCTATTGCTACAGCCATTCTTTAATTGTCTCAGCAAGAGTTTACTTTCATGTGATGGTAATAATGCTGTTAACTAATTTCCACTTTCTGCTGAGTCGCCTTTCTTTAGGATGGGCACCAGTTTGGATCTCTTCCAGTCAGTTGGCCAGGTAACAGTCTTCCCAATTTCTTGGCACAGGCGAGTTATTGCTTCTGGTGCTGTGTTAGTTTGTGCAAACATTACAACTGGCGCTCGATCCGTTCCGGGAGCTTTGGTTTTGCGGATGCCTTCAGTGCAGCTTGGCCTTCTCCCCTCAGTGCCCGTGCTTCTTGATCATGGGTTACCTCTTGAATTGGTTGAACTTGGACCAATTCTTTTTGGGTTCAGCGTTTGTCTGTATCTCCTTCCATCTTCTTTTGATGCTTCCTGTATCATTCGGTATTCTTCCTACAGAATTCCTCAGTATTGCAACTCAAGGATTCAATTTTTCCTTCAATTCTTTCAGCTCGAAATATACTGAGCAGGTTCTTTATTTTGCACATCTCATCACATTCTGCGTTGTCTTCTTTGAAATGGCCTCCTCTGCTCATCTACCTCATCGTCTCTTCCACTGGCTGTAGCTTCTCTACGCTCCAGAGGAAGTTTCAGAGTCTCTCCCGACAGCTATCTTGCTCTGTTCTTTCTTGTTGTTTTCATAGCCTTTTGCTTTCTTCTTGGCACCCCCCACAGTCCGTCAGCTCTTCAGTCCTTAGTGCTGAGTGTGTCAAATCTGCTTCTGAGAAGGCTTCTGATTCAGGTGGGATCAACTCAGGAATGCCATGGACTTGGTTTCCTTTTCTTTAGTTTCAGCCTGATCTTGAACATGAGCGATCTGGGTATTCCATTTGGCAGCATCCACACACAGTCACTATGTTGTTGAAAAACGGTGGCCGTAATGAAGAAGTCATTGGTCTTCCAAAATGCTACCATGTACTCTCCAGCTTTGTGTCTATAACCAAGGCCATACGTATTTTCCACCTACTGATCTTTCCTCTTTGTTTCCAACTTGCACATTCCAATCACCAGTAATTACTAGTGTACCTTGATTGGACATTTCATCACTTTCAGATTGAACAACTTGGTAGAATCCTTCAAATCCTTCATCAATAGCTTTAGTGATTGTTTTATTTGCATTAACTGGACTGGCCGACTGTCAAATCATAAATTTAAAGAGTGGTAGGGCGTCATGACTGAAGCACAGGCTCTGAGTCTGTGCTTGTTCCCAGCTTCCACAACTTACTGTGAGAACTTGGAATTGCTGCTTAATCATTCTCTGCCATAGATTCTCTATCTCTAAAATGGAGATAACTATGGTACCATCCTAAGAGGGTTGGAAGATTAAATAGAGTTAGTATTGACGGCTCTCAGAACAGAGCCTGACATATGTGGTCATTAGTGTTAGCTCCATTATTCTTGCTACAGCTACTACTCATTCCCCGAGCACTTGAAGAGTTCTCTGTATCTACGTAAGATTTTCAATAGCTGAACATGGGTTAAGAATCATATCTATCAATACAGAGCCAGAGGATTACTAGAGATGAGAAATGTTTAGAGCAGAGAGAACTAGAGAGACTTTTAAAAAAGTAATTGCCAAAAGATTCTTCGCGATAACTAATATCAGTTCTCCCTGTCAAATTACATGTTAAGGTGGTGTCCTATAAGCCAACAGGCTTTCTCCGAAGGTCAGACTCACCCCTTGTTCATCCAGCTTCATGAGCTGCTCCGTGACCTTGGGGGTGTTGAAGGCCAAGCGCAGGCAATGCACATTGAGCTCGGGAATCACATGCTCCAGCACTTCCTTCAGGGGAAGGCCTCTGGCCGAGGAGTGCTTGGCGGTTGAGGGGATGGCATCCTCCAAGACTGATCCCCTCAGTGTCATGAGCTGAATGAAACACAAGAGTGGAGGTGAGAGAACTGAGATGGGAGTCAACACATTGGAGTCCAGCCTGTGGTGGGTGACTCTGGTTAAGCAGTTGAGGGAGAAAGAAAAGTTATAGAAGATACCCCATCTCTGAAAGATGAGGTCAATACTTCCTGAAGGTCCAGGTAACTCCAAAGGCACTCCTAGTCAGATTTACTGAAATGCCAAGACGAGCCTGTCTGTCAAGAGCTCGGTGAGATACAGGTCTCTACATGGCAATGATTTGCTACTGGGTGGGCACACCAGAAAATTAAGGAGATATCCCAGAGTAGTGTCTTACTTCGTGCTTGACATTTGGTTCGTATACTTTTGTAAATTGAAAAGGGAAAGGTGGAAGTTTTAAATTCCATAATGTACACATGACAAACACAGGCTCTCCTTATCAATCACTCGATGGCACTACAGTAGGGCAAGGGTTTGAATTACCACAGCAGTACAGGCAATAGCAGATGAGTTCAGTAAAAAATGCCCCGTATCTACTAAAATCTTTCATTTTCATGAACTATAAGTTGAAGTAAAGACATTTCCTTATGTTACATTGATCTGTGTGACAAGTCAACCAATCAGAAGCCTACCAACAAAAAGAGATAAACCCACTGCCGACAAGTGCATCTTGACCCACAGTGACCTGCCCAGGGTTTCTGGGCTGTCAATCTTCATGGGAGCAGCTGTAGCCTTTTTCTCCTCTGGAGTGGCGAGTAGGCCCTAACTGCTGAGAATTCTTTTTTCAAAAATTTTCCCATGCAAAAGTTACTAATTTAAATGCTATAAATGAACCAGTATTATATAGGCTCCAAAGTAATGAATTCCAAGCAGAAGCTACAAAAGATAATAGAGGCAGCATGTTGGCGGATGTTTCTGGAGTATATCAGGGACACAGTGCATGCTCAAAGCTGCCATCTTGGAAGGTATATTTACTAGGAAAATGATACACAAGTCCAGGCCCTAAGCCAGTCCCAAGGCAGAAAAGAGATCACACTGCTCAGGGGTTTTAGGAAGAGTCACATGGACGGGGTCACATTAGAGAGGGGCTATCCAATGGAGGAGGAAGTTGTACATAGAGACCAGCCGGAAGAAGAGTCCGGAGCTAGGAGAGGGTGGGCCTGAGGGGGAAGCAGCCGTGAAGACAGCCCCCGGATGGTGTAAATGCTTACTGCTCTCGGCTGCCCAGAGCCGCCTGGGAAGAGATGTCAGATAATTTACTTCTGAAAAGTCAGTGCTGGAGAAGTCGGTGAAGCACAGTTTTATTCTGACCTACCCTTGGTCCCCAGGCATTGGGATAGACTGGGTTTTTAAAGGCTAGTTCCAGGGAGGCGTGAATGCTGCCCTGCGAGGTAAGAGGGAGCACCCCAAGCACCCCCTCTGGCTGAAAAGGTCCTCTCCGAACGTCACCGGGCGGGAATAGTGAGGCATATGCTCAAAAATTAATAACAATTTGGCAAACAGGACAAAGTGCAAGAGGAAGAGAGTGGAGGCAGAGACTGCCGTGGTTGTCAGGTAACGGTATAGAGGACATGGTATCTCGTGAGCAGGGGAAAGCACGCAAAGGAACAACAGGGAAGGAATTCCTAGCACACTTGGCAATGAAGGAGGAGAGAGGCAAGTAGGAAAAGCATCGGCTCGTATCGAACTTCGCGCTCAGTACTGGGGAAAAAGACACCTGAGTGCTTCGCAGCGCATTCATTTGACCAGTGTCCCTTCTTGCAGTTCGCAATGATTTCCCCATTACAGCCTAATTCTGATAGTTTTATATATATCTTTTCCTTTTTCATCATAGAATACAGCACAAGAGCCCAGTAGATATGCACTTCCTTTCATGGACAAACAGTACATGCCTTGGGATGAGGACCACAAAGCCTGGAGGGCTTGTCCTTTTGGACCCAATGCCAGGCAGGCTGATCACTGCACCATGCAGCCAACTTCATGAAAGCCAACCAGAATCACTGAGTGCGAAACCCCAATCACTGATATTACTGACATGTTCGTTAATAATTTTCAGAAGCAGGAGGAGAGTCCTCCTAAGATCCTGTGTTCTTATGCCAGTAAGAGACTGTCCATGAACAGATATGCCCAGACATTACGTATGAGGTTTTTAAGTGTTTTGTAATCATCACTTCAACCTGAACGAGATTTGTTTGTACTTGTTTTCTCCATGGATGGAATTCACCGGGCAACAGGGGCATCACTGTGGTGGTCATATTTTCTCTTTTCTCACTGGATTTGGTAACATGACACATTCCTACACAGACCTAAGTATCACCAGTGAGTTTTATGTCATTGACTATGTACTGGGCAGGATTCCATGAAGACAGTGTAATCGAAGACCTTGCCCTGTAAAGTCCAGGTGCTTTCTATGAACAGCGACCAGTATCCAGGTGTATTTTCATCAGAAAACCTTTATTTCTATGAGACATTACACTTAAACCACATCTGATGGGCTGCTTTTTATTGATGAGAAGAAAATTTCACAAGGCTAGTGGCAGTCAGTGCTGAGAGAGAGAGAGTCAGAGGGAGAGAGAAAAGGTTCCAGATGCAAGTCAAGACACTATTCTAGGACTGGTGATTTGGGTGTGAAAAAGTGAGTCACTCTTTTTCTCATGGTAGTGCTGTGGGCTAGGTGAGCTCTTAACTGCAAGGTAAGTGGTTCAAACCCACCAGCCACTCCTTGGGAGAAAGAGGAGGTTCTCTGTCCCATAAAGATTTCCAGCTGTGAAAAATGCTATAAAATCACGATGAGCTGAATTAAATTCAATGGCCATGGTTTTGGTTGGCTTTTGTGACGGCTCCAGCTGTCTGTCTATGGTGCATGATGCCATGGTTAGTATCTGTGGTAGTTACATAATCTGGTGTCAACTTGAGACTATTAAGGAAGGGTGAAGGGGTGGAGTTTGGCCTGTCAATCAGGTTGCTGCTTGATGACCTCATTCGGAGTTGTGAAGGAGGTAAACAGCTCACTAGAGGCCAGCCCCACTCTGCTTCCACCACCACTGGATTCACAAGACTTTCCACCCACTGGCCTGTGATCTTCCTGCATTTGGTGTCATGGCATGTGTTGTGTGAGTCTGAAGAGGAATTTATTGGCTGGTATTGGACATATGGGCTAATATCAGACTTATGGACTTGATCTGGATTGGGCTGGGATGTTTTCTTAATATACAATTACTCTTTGATATAAAGCTCTTTCTTATACACAGACGAGTGTCTCTGGATTTGTTTCTCTAGTCAGCCCAGACTAACAGTATTAGTCATGACCAACAAAGACAAAAGTCTGCACTCACGTGGGGCTGACATTATTGAGGGGGAGACTAAAAATGAACAAGGTAAGTGCGTACAATGTCTGCGTGTTAAATGTTAACGGGGAAAATATATAAAGCAAAGAACTGTATATGAAACGGGGGTGGGGGGATTAGAAATGTTAGCATCGGTGGCCACGGTTGACTCCTTTCACCTGTGAGTCAAGGCCAGAAGAGAGTGAGCCCTTGAGCAGGGCAGCTGGGATGAGCATTCCAATAGGAAGGCCCAGGGCGCATCATGGCAGGCACAGGGAAATGGCCAGAGGCTGTAAGGGTGGGGGGGAGGGGGGGCCTGCATCAGACCTGTGTGGTCTCCCAGGCCACAGCTGTGACTTTAGAGGGAGGAGCTGGGAAACCCTGAAAGGACTCTGAACTGCAGAATGGTAGGATCTGGACTGCACTTCAAAGGGCTCCCTGCCTGGAGGAAACAATGCAAGCTGAAAGGACACAGCAGACCAGGGTGGGAGAAGTGACTCCAGTTCTGGCAGGTGGAACAAACCAGAGGGGTAGAACTCAGGGGCGGGGAAGGGAGGAAATCCCTGCTCAGAGAACAGGAGGGGGCGGAAGGAGGACGCTTCACCAGCCACAGCACAGGAGTCCAAGCTGAAGAGGAGAGGTGGAGTCAGGTGAGGAGCTCCCTCAAGACAGGCTGAAGGGGGGCGCGGGGGGCGGGGGCCCGCAACTCGTGAAAACCAGTCTTAGGATCAGACAAAGTGCGTGCCAATTCAGAAAACTTCCATCTTGACCTGCGGGGTAGGATATAATATAGTGGCATTAAAACAGCACTGGGCAGAATGTGATGGTGGCTGGAATGAGAGCAGCCTTGGGAGATGGAGAACGGGAACAAGGGAGTCAAAAGCACATGGGGATTAACTCCATCTCCTAGAAATCTGGGGGCTGGGGCTGGAAGATCGCGAAAGAAACCATCACCTGTAACCACCTTCACGAACGTACACTAATATGTGCTCTGTGCTTCTCGTTCAACAAAAGAATTCACACTGCTTAAAGATAAGCTCGGGCGGGGGTGGGGTGGGGGGTGGGTCACACTAGAGCATGTTAGCACTTCGTTTCTCTCTGGCCACTAGGAACAATATATTAGATAATAGAGTCTTGCCTTGAAAAGTCCTGTTTTTAATTTCCCCAGAGTTCAAGCTTAGGGACAATTACTAAGCGTAGCCCACACTGAAACTTCCCTTGCATTCAAGGGGGGAAATGGAGCCAAATGCCCTATTTACACTGCTTCCCAAGCCATTATTTCTTAGATTTCTCCAGAGGGTGTTAGGAATCCCTTGGTAACAGCCATCCCTACGTGACTCCGGAACTGAGAGGCGACTGACTAGCAGCTAACAGACACGGGCGGAGGAGGAGAGACGAGTCCCAAACCTGTCCGTGAGTGAGAAGAGGATGCTCTGTCGGCCGCTACGTGTTTCCTTTTCTTTTCTTGGCTCCATTTGGAACTTTAAATGTGACGTTGGGTTGGCTTCCAGAGCCTGTTTTGCCTGCAGTTAGGGAGCCCCCCGTTTGCCCAGCTCGGGTCTGTTCATTCCGTGAACAGGTCCGAGAGATGGGGCAGTGGAGGAGGAAGAGGGGCTCCTCCGTGCCTCTTCTTGGGTCAAGAAGGTCCTAAGTAACAGTTGGGATGGCGGAGTTCCAGCTCGGTGGGCTGGAAGCCTTTAATCCTTCAGAATCCTGCTCCTCACGTGGCTGAGGTTTCCCCCTGGCCCCAAGGAGAGGCGAGATCTCCCTTGGGATTCCGTGCCTCCAATTGGGCCACTCGTAATGGACCGCTCTCTCTCTTGCATCCAAACACCTTTCATTCATTCACTGCGTCTACGCAGAGCTAAGTGGCAGGAAGGAATCCAGAGCTACCCATCACGGCGACACTCCCACCCCGTCCCCCACCCCATCACCACCACCATCTGAGTGAAAGGGGACCCTTCGTGTATCCCAGAGACGCCTGTGACCGTGGGCTGTGAGGTTAATGGCCTTGCCTCTGCCCCACCTCCCCCGCCCTTCAACTGAGCCTCAAATCTCTGACTTGCAGCGTACCTCACTTGTTCTAAAAATGATCCGGTAATTGTACGGAGATCCATTTTCTTTCATTTCTTCTGGCTTTTCCCTTCGAATGCTCACAGCCACCGGACCAAGATTCTCATCAGCCCCGAAATAGTTCCAGTGTTCTTAAGAAAAACAAAGCAAAACAAAATCAGAAGGCTCACACCACGTCTGCCAAATGTTACATTCCCAATACGTGAAGACCTCCACTGGAGACCTACGCTCGGATCGGGAAGAGGTAAACGCAGCCCGCAAATATTAAAATACCTCAGTGAGGCAAAACAGACTTCACTGCCCAGCCTGCGTTCGTTCGAGAGGAGGGACACTGGCCCGAAGTGGCCTGCTGAGTCCGTCACTACTCTAAGACACTCTAGTCCATTTAAATGTGTGTTCCCACTCAATACCTCCCCCGCTAAAGCGAAAAGCTATGCCTGGGCTCCTTAGCTTTTCTTCTTTTAGACACACAGGCAAAATCAACGTTTATTGAGAGCAGGATTTGAGGAGATGATGATGGGTCCCGCCCCCCAAATTAAAAATGATTTCCCTAAATTGGAGGGGGCCTGTGGGTCCCTGTTCCCCAGGGAGCGAGTCCATGCCAGATGCGGAGGAGCTGGGCGGAAAGGAGCTTCAAGGTGCCCCAGGTAGGGAGGAGTCCAGGTGCTGGGCTCCATCTTCCCACAAGGCAGAGCAGGCAACCAACCCACCAAGACAGTGAGCCTGGAGGGAACGGGTAAGTCTCCTGGGTGACCCGGTAGGGCCAGGCAACTAATGGTTCTGAGGTCTCTCGTCCCTGCTCGGGGAATACTCAAGGCACCAAGCCTTGCCGCTGATCAGATGGAAGGTCAGGACCAAAATTAAGTTACCGACAAATTTAAAAAAGGTCAAGTGGTAGGTAATAGACCCAAACCAAGCTCACTGTCACTGAGTCAATTCTGACTTACAATGGCCCTACCGGACAGGTGACCGCTGCCCAGATGGGTTTCCCAGGCTGAAAACCCTGAGAGGAGCAGAAAGCCTCATCTTTCTCCCAGGTGGAAGTTGGTGGGTTCAAATGACCAGCCTGTGGTCAGCAGCCCAACCGGTAGCCCACTGTGCCCTGAGTCTCCCTCAGTGGTGTGGACAATGCTTCTTTTAAAATGCTTAATCATTAAAATTCTGAATTGTACACAAGAGATTCATGAGCGATGAAGTCCATGAAACATGGAAAGATATGAAAAGCTGGAATAGACAACTCAGTTTTCAAAGTTCCCAAATATTTACATTATATTGTTCTATTTCATTTACATGTGACATGGAGAGGTGATCAGGTTGTGACATGGTACATTATTATCATACAAAATGCATAGGCATCTGAAAATACATGTTATTCCAATACAATGTATATATAAGTATTTGAAAATCCATGTGAATAATGCTATAACATATATGTCATCATGTTCTCTTAAAATTTAAGTAATGCAGCACATAAACACATTTTTGCAAGTACTAAAGAAGCAGCATAAAATATATCAGAAATCTGGAGAGCTCGCTAGTATTATTATCTTGCTCCATGGAAATTCAAAAGAAGGAAACACAATGGGGATATACAGGCAACAGACATTTTACACGTGGACAACTGAGCAACAACCCAAGAATGTCACAAAGTTCATGTACAAACACTCAAGTTCACCCTCAAAGCACAGCACATGAGAATCACACTCAGGTTTACTCTTACTTTGCACACAATTCTAATAAGCTCGGTTGTCTGGTCTTCAGGCCCACAGCCTTATTTCAGAGGTGTGATAAATCCAGATGTTGACAAAGTCCAGGGTGGAGGCGGCTATAGACTTGCATGCAGACAGCAATGTGATAGAACAACTGACAACAAGGAAGAAAACAGAAAGGGAGGAGACAGAAATAGTATAAAAAAGGGGACAAGAACTTAAAGAAAAACAAAGCAGCAGTCTCAGGCCAGACTTTGCTGAAGGAGCAAAGAGCTTCACACACTTCATAACTTCCGAGGATATTTAATTATTGCAGCACAGAACCATAGCAGATGTTTCAGAGGCGAGTGTCAGTCACATTCATCAGTTTTCCCTGCATTTCTTGGACCCAACTGACCACCTGGCTCTCTGAAAGCTCCCGGGGCACCCCACGTTCTGCAGGTGGGATGGGGGCCCATGTGGCCAGGGAAATTCACAAAGGCATAGAACCACTGTCAATAATTCATCGCGAACCTCAATTGGCCCTGAACTGTCCCCGAGCTGCATTCTCTCGCCTTCTCCAGAGAAGATGTGTCCGTCTTCAGCCTCTTTTCTCCACCTTCCCCTCTCCTCCCTCAATTTCAATACATGGCAAACCTGTCTAGACCAGTTTTTTTCCAAGTCATTTCGAGAGCAAATTTCCTCAATCTCTACCACCATATATGCAAACTTACCTGCATTCAGACTCCTGCTTCCTCTTCTCTCAAATCCAATGTTATCTGCCTACGATCTGGTTTTTACCAATTCCATCTTGCCAGGAACTCTGATTCCCTGATTAATCTCTTGTAGCTTTTTTTAAAAAAATCATTTTATTAGGGGCTCATACAACTCTTATCACAACCCATACATACATCAATTGTGTAAAGCACATATGTACATTCATTGACCTCATCCTCAAAACATTTGCTCTCCACCTAAACCAGCCCGACTCCCCCCCACCCCCCCAGGTCTTGTTCCGTCCCAAATCAGCTACTCAGGCTCAAGTCTCCATCTTTACATAACAAACGTACTCTCACCTCAGCCCCTTAGCATCCTTTAGCCTATGTCTTTTCTTCTACTTGAAACTTCGTGAAGGGGCTAATTCTTCATTTTAGAGAACTAGAATCCGACTCCCTTTCCATCAGTAGTAGTCCTATAGTTAAAAACGGTCATCTTTGCCCTTAACTTGCCCACCTTTCCATATGCCTGACACAGCTGACAATTCCGTTTTGTCTGTAAGCATTACTTCCTTACGTCCACGTCACCACTCTTAATTTTCCTTCAAAAAGTTTAGCTGTTCTGACTCAGTTTCCCTTACTCGTCCCGTTTTTGAATACTTCATCCAGTCTCAAAACTTCACTGGCTACCTCAATGCCGATGACGCTCAAATATATGTAATTACATAACGCCCATTCCAGACTTCTCAAAGTTTTAGATGCTTATGTAGTGGGCTCTTTGTTCCTCTGGCCTCTATAAATGTGAACCCAGTACTTTTCCACCTAAAGCTAATCTAACGCGTGCGCGCTCTCTCTCTCTGCAGTGGCAATATCAGAGATTGGCATCACCATTCACCCAGGTACTCAGGCCAGATCACTTGGGTACACTGGCATGCTCAGTGAATTCTAGTTCCTAAACCTCTCCCAAGCCCACATATTCAGTCCCCATCCCATTGCCAACAACTAGCCTTGGTCAATTCCTCCTGAACATTTAGAAACTGTTCATGGCTTTCCAAACGCTCTTACTACCTGTCACTAGATTATCACTGGAACCACAACTCAGACCCTTGCCTCAGCCCTCTGCAGTCTGGGAACCAATGACAAGGTACTTTCAGAGGCTTGAATGGTGCCACACTCCCGACAAGGTTTTCCCATCACTTTTCTTAATTTGACTACATCCTTTCCTCCTTCACATGTCCTCTGAAAAACCATTTAGATATGCTGTTAAAAAGGGACTGTACACAGGAGCAAGATGGAAGTGCTTACTTTGCATGTTAGCACTAATACTTCATTAAAAAGTATAAAGAATCCACAAAATAACATGCTAGTAAAACCAAATACTTAATAGATTTCAAATATAAAAATATAGAAAGCACGGGAAATGTATGTTTAAAATGTAAATATTAAAATGCTTTTAAAATGTGAAATGCTTTTAAAATGTAAATATGAATCATTTAATATAAAATTTTAGTACAGTGATCATATAAAAGGAAAACATTATTCAAAATAAAACACACAACCCTAAATAAAAATGAGCATGTAGTAACAAGATTTCAAAGTTAAATATTCCCTAAATAAATGTTCTTTTTGTTGGAGGGGGTTTGTGGGAGGGGGGTTAGCATCTTCAAGATCTGAGTCTATTTCCACCCACTTTTCCCCAGCTGTTGAAGCCCACTGCTGAGTTTTGGAGGGAACAGTGGTGAGATCTTTAGAAACTAACTTCACGTACTTCGTTTGGACTCCATCTTCACACGAAATCCTCCTTGGCAAGATCGTTGTGAACCTGGGTGTGCATTTGTGTAGAAAGAGCAATCTTCTATTTTTTAACTGAAAACAAGCATTCTGGCAATTTCGAGGCAAGCCTTTCCAGACGGTCTTCCTTGCCCTGCTCCAGCTTCCCCAGGGATGGACGGAGATTCTGGAGCTGGTTCTGTGGGAAACTCAGTGACGTTGAGTCCAGCACGTTGTGTGTTTTCCACTGTCCACTTTCTGTTCCTGAGGATCATGGAGGCATAGAAAACCCCGTTTGACACGAACACGCTTTCTCCAGGTCAACATTCTTACTCGGTGTGCAACTTGCTGGTTAGAGAAGAGTTTTGCTTAGCAAGTCATACGGAAATCAAATTTCTGAATCCTTTAAGGCTTTGATTTCAAGACAAATAATTTAGAGCACAGATTTAAAACACAAAAGCAAGAGCCTCTTGTGGGTGCCCCTTGTCTGTTTCTCTGGGCCAGGCTTAGCTCTGTTGCACCTTTCCCCTTGCCAGGCGCCAAGGCCCTCTGCTCAGGACCCTGGCCACCGGGTAGCACATCCGCACAGGCTCCCTGCTCCCTGCTGCAGCATTTATTCTTGTTGCCATCAGCAGTCTACCCCTGC